GGGAGTAGTAAATTCTGATGTTTCTAGACCATTTAAAGTACCTTCACTTGGAGGAAACAAATACTTTGTGTCGTTCATGGATGAACTCACAAGAATGAAATGGGTAGCACTCATCAAGTTTAAGCATCGGGTGTTTGATGAGTTTTAAAAGTTCAAGGTGAAGGATGAAAAACAGAGTGGTCAGAAGTTGAAAATTCATAGAAATGATGGTGGAGGTGAGTATAACTCTACAGAGTTCAAAAGGTTTTGTGAGGAGAATGGAATTGAGCATGTGGTGACTGCTTTATACACTCCTCAACACAATGGTCTTACTGAAAGAAGAACCCAAACTTTTCTTAATATGACAAGAAGCATGCTGAAGGAGAAGAAGTTGCCTCACACCTTGTGGAGAAAACCTATTGCCACTTCAGCATCAAGAGGTGTCCAACAAAGAAGCTGAAGGAAATTGTTCCTTTTGAGAAGTGGACTGGTGATAAGCAAAGTGTGATTCATTTCATGGTATTTGGTTCTGTTTGTTACAAACATGTTCCAGGTGCTACTAGAAGGAAGTTGGATGATAGAAATAAAGTAGTGTTACTGATTGAGTACCATAGTATAGATGTATATAAGCTTTATTGTCCAATCACTAATAAGGTGGAATTCAGCAGAGATGTTGTTGTGAAAGAATCAAAAGCATGGGATTGGAATGATCCTCAATCCAACTCTGGTGTCGTGTTAACACCTAAGTTAAATTTTGAAGATATTTCTGACTTAGAAGGAGAATCTGCCTCTAAAAGGGATTCTTCCTCTAAAGATGAGTAAGAGTCTGATGGTGATTCTGAGTCCGAAGATGAGCCAAAGTCTGATAGTAACTCTAAAGCTGAAGATGACTCAGAAGGTGAATCTGGTTCTAATCCAAATTCTGATGAAGGTACTCCTAAATCTGGTGGTAATCCAACCTCTGACAATGGTCATGCCTCTGAAGGTGAACCTTCTGAAGGATGTGCTTCTGAAGGTGGACCAGCCTCTAAAACCAGACCACAAATAATTCGTCAGATACCACAGAGATTTGCAGAGTTTGACATGTTGCAAATTATTCAATATGCCATGTTAGTAGACTCTGAACCAGTTAGTGTTAATGAAGCACTCAAGAATAAAGTTTGGATGAAGACCATGGAAGAAGAACTTTAGGCTATAGAAAGAAACAAGACTTGGGAGTTGACTAAACTTCCAAAGAACAAGAAAGTTATCAGTGTCAGATGGGTTTTCAAGGTGAAAATGTAGCCAGATGGATCAATTGGCAAACACAAAGTAAGGTTAGTAGCAAGAATATTTCTACAAAAATATGGGTTAGATTACTTTGAAGTATTTGAGCCTATAGCTAGACATGAAACAATCATATTGGTGATTGTTATAGCTGAAAATAGGATTTAGTCTCTAATGCATCTAGATGTGAAATATGCATTTCTAAACGGTCCATTGCAAGAAGAGGTATACGTGTCACAAACTCCTGGATTTATGAAAAAGAATCAAGAATGGATGGACTAATGAGTCAGTGCCACCTCAGGTATTTGGAGGAGGCTCATTAGAGTTGTCACTGCTACCTCTTTACCCAGACCATACTGCCAAACATATTTGGGACGGAGAGGTAAAATTAGTTCGGTTCATTCTTTTTAAATTTCGTTTATTATTATATTACAAGTTTATGACGATGATTTGTTTTTCTGCATGACTGTGATCCGCTGAACTTCATTAATCATGGGTGAAAGATTACTGGCTTGCATCAGCCTAATGACGAGTGGTTTCAGGCTACTTTAGAGCTATCTAGGATGAAAGAATTATGCAATACCAGTTATGTTACGGTGAACCAGGGATGCTTAATGCATTTGTAGGCAGATGGCAAAATGATACCTCATCATTTCATCTACCACTTTGTGAGATATCTATCACACTCGATGATGTGTGCATCTTCCGATTAGGGGAAGCTTTTAAATATGGGAGTATTAGCAAAGATGAGGCACTTGGGTTGATGGTAGACTATCTAGGAGTTTACACGGACGCTGCCTCGAGGGAGCTGGAAAAAACCAAAGGGGATCGAGCTAGGTTTGAATTTTTGACAAAGGTATATACATATGAGTTGCTTAGAGTACAACATTCTAGAGATGATGACGAGCAGATGGGGAAGCATAGAGTGTATGTTATGAGAGCATACCTGTTATATTTGGTTGGCTCTACCATTTTTGTGGACAATAGTGCCACTTATGTAAATGTCCTCTACCTATGATGCATCGAGGACTTTGAGTGGATTCATGAGTACAATTGGGGAGCCGCTTGTTTGATCTACTTGTACTCTAAGTTATTCGAGGGTTGTAGGTCGAAGATGAAATAGGTGACAGGAAGGATCACACTTTTGACGGTAATATTTATTGGTCATTTATTGTTTGTGTGTCTTTTTCATTACTTTTTGGCAACGTCCTTATTAATGATCTGTGTGTTCGAACACTTTTCAAACTTGAATCCTCCAGCACTTCCTACACATCTCCTCCTGGTCGTGTGTACCAACCTATAATGAGATATGTCGTGTGTTTCTGCATTTTCCCTACTCAGAGGGAATCGAGCAACAAAAGTCGTTTCGAGTGTATCTTGACCACTTGGTAGCAGAGGATATGCACTTTAACACCTATGTCGATCAGCGTAAGACGCGACCATTTAATCACATAGTGTTATACTCAGGAAGGTTGACTTGCGGTTCACGTCTGACATTTCCTCATCTACATGAGCGCGTCATGCGGTAGTTCAGCTACACCAAGACTATTCTCATACACTCTGACATATTTGTTCCTCCTGTTATGAGACGTATATATATATATATGAATTCCATAATTGATGATTATCTTAGTCATCGGGTACCGAAGGAGACATGGAGTACCATAGATAATAATGACTAAAGTTATGTAAACAGGTACATCAGGTGGTTCTTCAGGGTGTTTTATCCATATATGATGCAGGCTGCTCTAGGATATCCACCGAAGAGAACTCATCAGAAGATACTATAAGAGGAGTAGGTTAGGTTAGATCATGCTCATGATGTGTGAAGATTGTGTAGGTAGACATTGATAGAGGTATCTTTCCTGATGGTTTTGAGGTGACGGCTAGATGCCATTGTGATGGAGGCACGAGAGACACTGATGTTCTGGAGACAACGTCAGAGGATGGGGGGCAAAGGAGGATGAGGAACTCTAGTCCGACATACGTAGTAGTTGATAGTATTTGTAGTTTGGATTTATGTTCGGTTGTTTTTTTAGTTTTACTTATTTTAACTTCCTTCTATATTTTGACTTTATTCGGTATGTCATGATGACTTATTTTGACTTCGAATTTATATGTCATTTTTGCATATCGGTTGTATGGTTTAATGTTCATCGCATAACAGGGGCATTAACATTTATAAATCTTCATTTTCATCTGAGTAACCATAAAACTAACTTAACTTGCACTGTTTTGATAGGTTATAGAGATGCATCTCCGTAAATTCTAAATAAACGCATCTTCTAATTAATAAATGTTTAAAATGGGCCTTAGAGAGAGATGCATGAGGTATGCTTTAAAATATTTCGGAAATACATCTCCAGTTTAGTTGTAACGTTTTGACTTAAGACAAGTTGTGTCCGAAGATGCATCTCTAAAATCTGAGGGGCATTTTGAGTTTTTCATAGGATATTTTTCCAACCCATATGATGGGATAAGAAATCCCCAATCACATATAGTACAAATACAATAGATCAAGCAAAATGGCATGAGGTATAAATCCAATCCAACAAACAAATATTTTCGTCGTCTCAAAATAAAAGTCTTTTAAAATTATTACACATATATTAAAAAAAATTGAATAAATAAATGTAATAATTTTACAAAATTACCCTTAATTACTACAATACATTTTTAATTTTCATCATTCAATTGTATCCTCTCATTAATATATTAATTTATTAATTCTCTCACCTTGTAATAATGATGATAAGAATACACCAATAACAAATAATAAATAAGGATAATTTGTTAAAATTGTCTTTCTCTCTTTTATTTTACATTTTATTAATATGTATGAAAGTGTCAACTATAACAATTATTTTGGGACGGAATGAGTAATATGATTTAATAAAATATTATAGACAATATTTATTAAGAATAAAGTTGAAAAAAAATTAATTAATGTTGTATTGAAATGTAAAATAACTTTATTTTAGAACATTTTTTCTTTTGCAAGAAAGACATTTATTTTAAAATAGTGACTAATATGAAAAAACCGCCAAAAATAAACAACTTAATCAAACCACAAAATAAATCAGATTATGAGAAACCGCTTTCGAGAGGGACTGAAATCACGTAATAGAAAAATTGATTGAATAAGTGTAGTCGATTCAATGAGCCGGATAAAATGGTTGTGAAAAACCAAATAAAAATAGACCACTATAAAAATTACCCTAAGCCACTGCATTGGATACAATGGAAACATAAAATAGACTAGAACTGTCTCCAAAAACCAACATCAGCAGAAACATAAGCAGACAAGTAAGTCTCGATCCAGAAGCACCCCTAGAACGGACATGATGGTTACGCCCACCTCCAACAAAGCTTCTTGCACATAACAAAAGGAATGTATTCATCTGAAAGTCCCTTGAGAATTGCATCAATTTGATCTTGTTCAATTCCACCAATTTATAGCACCTTAATCAGTAATGGTTTTGATTAGAACAACATACTCAATAGTTGAACGATTCATACTCGAAACTTGAAAGTAACACACTTTTAAGTTATGAAACATGAATGATTGAATGATAATTTATTTATTTATAGTCAATTGTTGAAGGTATTTTATATATATGGAATTGAATGGTTGTTTAACAATAAACAAAAATTCAAAGAATTAGATTATTGATGGAAAATTATTGGCTACATTCACATGGATCAGCAAAACATTTACTTCTGGTGAAAAACAGCAATTGGCTATTCTATCATTATTACATCCACATGTTTGCCAACAAATACACAGCTGCTATGAAAAAGCCGCTGTAAAATGTCTTTATTCTTGTACCTCCAGAATGACTTCCAGCCTCTGAATTACTACTTCCGGGCTCGGATTTACCATCACTGCTAGAATGTGATGGATCGAGTGAATAAGGAACACCAGATTTCACAATCCAAGAATCGCTTTCTGTTGAATTAGCAATCTCGAAGAATTTTGCAGCGTAGAAATTGGCTGCTTCGGTAGCGGATATAGTTTTAACACCGGGCCATTTAACTCTTCCTTTTGTGTCAGCACCAGGACCTTTATTGTTATACTCATAAAAAGTACATGTGTCAGTGAAAGCGGTTCCCATCCATGGCAAGTAACCTTCGGGGCTGAAAATGTCGTCTATGGTTGAGTCCATTATGACGACTTTCGCGTATGCCTTCCATGGTCTTCCGAGGTAAGCGATTTTGGGTGTTATTGATGCTAATGCTGGTTCACCTGTGAAGTGACAGGTTTGGAAAATGAGACCGCTTGCGCTGTCGGATTTGACTCTTCCATCTGCTGTTACGGTACATACTTGCTCATCAGCTGGTTTTCTAACGACGAGTTTGCAGTTTTGGAAAACTCCAAAGGCGTCGCCGAAGATGGAGTCGATTGTGCCAGAGATGCTGCAGTCACGGTAGAATTGGCGTTGGGATTCAGCGAAGACCGTGGCTTGGAAACCGTCCATTTGACAGTTGTAGAAGATTGCTTTGTCTGCTGTTACTCGGAGTGCTACTGCTTGACGTTTTTCTGGTCCTGCTGTGTTCTCGAATCCGATATCCTTTGCCATGAAGTTTGCACCATTTACACCTGCATTAATTCAAGTCCAAGTTAATTAAATAGCCTTCGTAGTAATAGTTTCAGTCGCGATTCTAAAAAACATCGTCGATAAATGTTACTATTTTGGCCCGTTTTCAGATAACACAGCGTGATTCAGCGCCTAACCTCCTAATATATCAGTTTTTGGTTTCAGTAAAAATAAAAACATGTTAACATGAATTGTTTGGTACTCACCGAAGGTTGCGGTGTTGTAAACTATGGTACCATCGACAAAGTTGAGGCTACCGGTGAATTTGGTTTTCGTAGGACCATCACCGATGATCGTAACAAAAGTCTTTTCCAGAGGCACATTAACATTCTCATTATAAACACCTTCCTTAACATGAATGACAAAAGGTTGTGCATTATTAGCAGGAACAGTCTTAAGAGCTTCACCAACTGTCTTAAACTGTCCACTACCGTCTTGCGCCACAACAGCATTTGGCTTAACAGTTTCATCGGCGAGAATTCGTCTTTGTCCTCCGTTAACCCATGAAGGAAAACCATCGACGAGTTTCTCCGATTCAAGAGATAAAAGATTCCTTTTACCAGTATCTGTGTTTGCGTTAAGATCCTTAACTATTCCAGAAGCAACATTAATCATGTCAATAGCATTGCTAGTTAACTGCAAAGAACCATTCAAAATCTTAGCCATTGTTTCTCCGGCGTTCGTCGTTGAATTCTCAAAACCATCCAAACATGTATGTTGATGCGAAAGTGCACCGGTTAACCAAACCTTGAGATCATAAGCATATTCATTCAACTTATTGAAATCAAAGCTATCGATTTTACCAGTAGATTTAGTGATTCCGTCAACAGCGTAATCCAAAACCACATTGCAAACTTCCATTGCTTGTTTTGTCCTGTTGTCCTTCACCAATTCATTATAAAGAGATGAGTTGTTAATATGTTTCAACAACTCCACTGATGTTGCATTGAATGCAGCTTTTAGAAGCTCTTTCATATCAGGGGTTTCACTCGACGCCTTCGCAAGACTCTTCTGGCATGTTTCTTGGTACTGCATTGATTCACAAAGTTTGCCAGCACTCTGTTGTCCTTCGCCGCCTACAGCGGCGACGACAGCGACAAGAAGAATGCATGAGACACCAAGAAGTGAAAACCTCTTCATTTGGTCAGGACTTCCCATATTTGTTTTTCACCAATAGTCCTTTTTCCAAATGCCCTGTCTTGTAGGGCTAGCTCTATTTTCTCAATTGTGATCTTGATTCTTTATATACACATTTTTGCATACATTTTACCTATTAAAACGGAAAAAAATATGGGAATCCATCCATTATGAGAACAATGGTTAAGGTATAATGTTCTAAATTTGGCTAGGTGAAATTTAGTAAATTGGCTAGTTTTGGAAATTAAGTAATTGAATTTTTATTTGTTACTCTTAAAATAGATCATGACAAAATCTTGGTTATGCTGTCATACATGGTGGGACAAGATTTTAAGGTTTGAACAAGACCACTTGAAAAGTCACATGAGTTTATGTTTTAATCTTTACCTTGTGTATTAAATTAAGTATAATAATAACAAGGTTATTCAGCTCATTCTCATGTTATTATGTATATGTAGATTTGATGATTTTCCTTTCAATGCTTCCTCTTTTAGAAGGGTTGCTCTTACACACTATAGAATTTTCAGAGAGATGTCATTTTCACATCATTTCGCCGGACACACCACATATTATAAGAGTTTAAATTCACCCAAAACACACCAAAGATACAAATAGTCTTGTCCGAATTTTGAAATCTGAATCTTAATCATATTTTGAAATCTAGGCGCACCACATATTATAAAAAAAAACTCAAGTTTGTTTAAAAAACACTCAATAGACAAATTATCTTGTTGAAATTTTGAATATTGAACACACTACGTACTAAAAAAACTCACATTCACTTGAAATGCACCCAAAATCCTATCTGTGCATTGGGTGCGTTCAAATTTTGAAATTCAGATGGCATGAAAGAGGAATTTTTTAAAATTTTAAGGGTTTGAAACTTGAAAATAATACTAGAAATGAAATGAGCAATCTGCATTTTACAATTATTAAAAAAAAATAGGCAATTAATGTTGAGGTTAAAGGAGATGTAGTCTAATTTGATAGGATTTATCGTCTTATTATTTGACAATGTAAATTTTTTAATTAGTTCACAGTGTAAATTTTTTAAGTGCATCGTCTTGACCTCATAATGAATTATCAATTTATTCCATGTTTCATGAAAAAAAAAGTTTATTTTAGAAATGACATATTAAATAGAATAAAAGAGTTGCAAAGCAAAATTAACTAACTACAAGATTAACCTTGTTTTATTTTTCTGATATAATTACAAAAATAAATCCATTTACTAAACTATTATTTCTTTTCATTTAAATTTGTACGAGAACTTGTTTCATTGAATGACATTCTGAGAGAAGTAATATTAAATATTATGAAGTTAATTATATTTTGATCCATCAACAAATATGACTAATTTTGCTTATATTTGAATTTGAGACCAGAAAGAGTATTATTGCAACAAAATAGCTTATTTTGTTCAAACTCAAACACATTACATAATGCTTCCGAAAAGCAACTCAGAACACTGCTAGTGTTATATAGATTTTTTTTTCTTCCTTAGAACACTTTATTAAGTGGGATTGTGAATTCCTATTCATACAAGTTTTTATTCGCAGAGTTTGAAATCATGGCGAGTTAGGCAGTGAGCCACCGTGTGGCAAAAGCTTTACTTCGGAGCTTCGACAAATTCGCCTTGATTCCAAACATGCACGGGCAACTTTCTTTTTGTTTTCAAAGTTTGGCTCTTTGTATTTCTAATTCTAGCTTGCCTATGGTACCCAAGTGAACTTCGTCCGGACCGTCAGCGATTCTCAACGTCCTTGCGGTTGCCCACAGATGTGCCAGGACAGTGTCAGACGATACGCCAGCCGCTCCATGCACTTGAATCGCCATGTCAAGTACCATTAATCCCATTTGTGGTGCAGCTACCTTAGCCATTGCGATTATCCCTCGAGCTTTTTTGTTTCCATATCGATCAAGCTGGTCTGCGGCTTCCAACACAAGTAACCTAGTCTTCTCTAGCTCGACTCGGCACTGAACAACAGTTAGATATAAGTTAGCGAAGATCATGAAAAAATCGAAACGGAGGAGAGTTTTGTTTTTGGTTTCCTCAAAACTCTAATAATACCTTGGCCAAATCTGAAATAAATGAGCCATGTTGAGCAATCATTTTCCCAAAAGCTTTCCTACTAAGAGCTCTGTGAGCCATCAGTTGCATGCCTCGCTCGGCAGCGCCTATCAGTCTCATACAATGGTGCAGCCTTCCAGGACCTAGCCGAGCCTGCAAGATACATGTCAGCAATAGACGAAAAAATATGCTTTTTTATATATCAGCAAGTATCTCAAAAGAAATGGTTTTGTAACTTACTTGAGCGATCTCAAATCCACGTCCTTCGCCCATTAAGATATTTGAGGCAGGCACACGAACATTCTCAAATACTATTTCTGCATGTCCATGAGGCGCGTCGTCGAAGCCAAACACTGTCAGAGGTCTCTTAATGTGAACACCAGGAGTCTGAGGATCCACTAAGATCATTGATTGTTGTTTATGCCTCGGCGCATTGAAGTCAGTTTTTCCCTGTGTTCATGTTTTCTTTATCACACTCTGATCTCTATTGAAATGAAATAGCATAATAGACTCTTAATACAATAACTTCAAACTAAATACTCACCATGAGTATGAGGATCTTGCATCTTGGATCCATAGCACCACTAGTCCACCATTTAGTCCCGTTTATAATATATGAATCTCCTTGCCTATGAAGGAGAAAAATTATGAAAATAGGTAGTTATGAAGCCCGGACACGACAACGAACTTATACGTCGACACCGGTAATAATTTTGAAAAATGAATAAATTAAACGTGAACAGAAGTGTCTGTGGTTTCAGTGTCAATGTCCGACAGTGACACGGACACGACACACCTTTTTTCAGAGATGTGGGTGCTACAGATAGTTCATTATGGATAATCCCACCTTTTTATGGAACACTCAATATTGGTTGCATCAGAAGATGCAATTTGTGGTTCTGTCATAGCAAATCCAGACCTAATCTTCCCCTCAAGCAAAGGAATAAGCCATTTAAGCATTTGTTCTTTATTTCCATTGCGCAATAAAACCTAAAATGCAAGACTAGTGTTACACGCCGATCAAACAGAAACGCAACAAAATAGAAAGTGTTAAATCTGATTAACCTTGCAAATCTTTAAAGTTCATCTTACCTCCATATTACCCGTGTCGGGTGCACCACAGTTAAATATTTGTGGAGCCCAAACAGAACGGCCCATGAACTCACACAAGTATCCATATTCGAGATTTGTTAAACCAGCACCCAACAACAAGTCATTTGAATCAGTAGAAAGATTATTATTGCTCCCATCAAATAGAATTTTTTTCGCTCTTGCAGCACTATCAACCTGCATTAAAGAAGCTTTAATATATTAAAAACAGATGCAAAGATGTTAAAAGCTTCAAAAACCACAAAAATACAGATAAGAGATATCAAAGATGAGAAGAAGAACTAAGAGTCATACAGGAATCCATAAGTTCCACAAGCCTTCTTTCTTTGCTAACTCCTTCAATTTTTCCTCTGCTGGGTGAATAGTCCAACGTGCTTCTGAATGAGCAAGTTTAGCGAATTCGTCTTCAAGGGGGTATACGTGTTCCTCGATGAACTTAACTATTTTATTCCTCAGCACTAAAACCTCTTTTCTAAGAGCAAACCTCCCTTCACTTGAGAGGTCCTGTGTATCGATACTCTTCACTACTAACTCTTTCGCATTTACACCTGATTTGTTAAGAGTGGAAATACCTCAAATATATATATTAATTTAGTACTAATAATCCAATAATATGATTATATGTAAGATAATGTTTGAGCCGATAATATATTCAAACGGTATAGCTACCTGATGGAGGACGCTCGGGAAGCACAAATTTACGTTCAATAAATTCCCAAGCAGCATCAATAAGGCCATTAGCTAGTACTTCTGTGTAACGAGCACGCTCACCGCCAGATGCATTGCCCTATATTTGAACATAAAGAAGCAACATAAGAGTTTGTTTGGATTAACTTATTTGAGTTTATCTACTGGCATAAACACTCGTGAGACAGGAAGAACTATATGTTCATAAACTACTTGCATCTTATTTCCATAAGCTATAAACAATTTATTATTAAACAAAAATAGTTTGATTTTCTTGTCTTTTGCTAAAAATATAACTTATACACAAGTACTTATATGATAAGTGCTTAATTAAGTTGTTTATCTAAGCAGAGCCTAAATCTTAAACTCAAATGACAAAAGCATCTATAACAAGTTTAGATACCTTAACCCATCTATTATACACTCCGGCATAAATTGAAGCTCCGCGGAAAAAAGAAAAGGCGACATAGAACTTCCATTCAGCAACAGGCCATTTTCTTCCCTGGCATCAAAAACTCGTTTGTTAGAATTCTTTAGTGTAGGAATTTTCTTCCAAATTGAAAATATATAGTAATAACAGCACTTACTGCCAGAGAGCAATATTCAGCCAAAAATTCTGGTAGCGGTGGAATTCCCGCTGGTAATCCCGAACGTTCCATACCTTCCTGTACTTTTACTTGCCCAATATCTTTAATGTAAGACTGTCGAAGGAAAAAAAGCATGAATTTTATACTGGTAATTTCAATTAAATAGCTTAGGCGCATCTACGATACTGTTTTACGCTCACTTTAACAAGCTGACAATATAGTACGTAGTACATACCATTAAGATATATGCAACATCACACATTTGGTTTCCAAGGGTAGATAGTTCCCAGTCAAGTACACCGATTACTCGATCCTGCAGAAATGAAAGTTTTCAGCCAAAGAAACTTTGGTCAAGTACATATCGTTTTACTAAATGAATCACTTACCTCTGTAGGATGGAACACAAGATTGTCAATGCGAAAATCTCCATGAACCAAACCTGCTGTTGCTCCAGAAGAATCTTCGGAAGGGATGTGATTTCGTAGCCAATCAATCAACGCAAACATTTTCGGGTTGCTTGCAGGTTTACCCTCACTGGTTGAAGACACATATTGCTTACCCCATCTCTCAATCTAAAACAAACAAACTATCCATTAGTATATCTGTTAGCAAAAAACAAAATCTTCAATAAGCAGACACTCTCGAAGAACTTGCCTGTCTTTTGCAATAATCATTACGCCGCCCGTAATTTCCAAGACCAATGGAATCTACGTTAACAGAATGTAATGAAGCTAAGGTCTTAGCAGTTTCGCGATAAATTGCTCTCCTACTCTCTGCTGACAGACCCTGACACATTCATGTAAAGCAATTCAGCTACAAAACTAATGACAATCATTATTTTAAACTGCGGTTCGTAACCACAATTGCAGCTACAATACAAAATGATTTTGAGGTCTCTACAACGGCATTGCGGAAATAATTTTGAATGCATTGGCTGCAAATAGCTGCAATATAAAGGATTGCATCGCAGGTAGCGTAAACACAAGCACAATTTAAAAGAAAATCCAGTCCTACAATCAGTTATTTCAGTTGAGAAAATTATAGATGAAATATAAACAAACCATACTGGTAGTTTGGGATCAAAGAATATCCGTCCGTCCAAATACTCCATAATATAAAATGCTGTTCCAATAACAGATGGATCATTGCACAAACATAAAACTCGGGGAACTGGAACTTTGGTATTATTGCCTATAGCCTGGAGAACCTGCAAGTCGAAGGACCAACAAAAAAAAGAGAGAATCATATTGAGCAAAAAGTGATTCCAAACACATAAAATTGATTTTGACATGTTTGAGTGATATTGATTGCTATTGACTTTGTTTTAGGAATTGATTCAAACTTTAAGCTAGGTTTTGCAACTTTTGACTCCAAATTCTGATTTTTACTGTCGAATATATTGTTGAACTCTTTATCATAAGAATTTATCCAAACATAAACTTTTTACATTCAACTTGCCCATCAACTAAAATCAATTTTACAGAATCAATTCTTATCCGCACAGACCAGAACCAACACAGGATCTCTATCAATTTTATTCATTCTACAATAACAACTTTTTCAAATCAAATCCAAAACAAGTGATTGTTCAATATATTGAAATGAAGATCCAATGAGAAATTAAAAATAAATATACAGACCAGAAACTCTCTTTCAACAGCATGAGCTGAAGCCAACAATTTCCCAGGAGGCTTTTTCCTAAGAACATATTTCTTCACAACGGATCCATTTGAACCAACTTCCATCAAGTATGTGGGATTAGACTGTCCATGTCCAAACTAGAACAATTCACAAAATAACCAAAAAAAGTCAACTACAAAATCACAATACAAAAAAAAACAAATTTTGATGCAAACCCAGCAGACCCAGATGGATAAAAATTACAAAAATGAATAAAGATGAAACCTGAGAAAGATTGAAATGGGTGGGGGAAGAAGGGAAGTCAGAAACGTTGGAAGAACAATAGCGGAGGAGAGAGTCATGGTTGAAATGTTGAGCAGATGCCATATCAAAATTCGATCTATCACTTACAGAGATTGGTGAAGAAGAAAAAGAAAAGAAGCTACAACAGTTGCGGCTTTGTTTTGAAGCGTGTAAGTGGCAGTGATGTGATGAAGATAATCAAATAAATATTGTCACGATGATTGCAATGATGTCTGCGGAATTGATTTTTCAAATGGTTTGCTTACGTTACGTTTACGTATGATTTTGGTCTTTTGCCATTTTTTATTGTGATTTTAGGATTATCATAATAGTATTATACTACCGCCATAAAGAATTAGGAGTTTCTCCTTTGTATATGCTCTCAATTTCTAAAACTAAAACAAATAAGAGGTGCTTTGTTAATGTTTAGAAGTGATGGGTGATAAGGTAGGATGAGATTTTAGATTTGTGAAGTGAATCTTCACTGCAGAAGGGTCTAATCAGCATAGTTAACATTCTAATATGTTTAATATGTTTAAGTAAGTGAGAGAATAAGGAGTAATGTTATAGTGAAAATGAATTTGAATATCTAAAATGAGGTATTTTCTTTTTTGTATAGAGTGAGCGGTTAAAGTCATCCACGTAAAATAAAATGTGTTGTGTGAATGGTTGTTGGATTTAATAACGCATTGATTGAGCATTTCAAGTGTGTAATTATATGTCGTTGGTGTAATGAGGGATCGCACAATCCTTGTGTTATTTCGCTTGAAGTTGCTTTTGAGCCTTTTGTTATGGGCCTTTCGTTATGGGACTTATGAGGATATTCTGGTCATTTATGGTGTTTGAGCTTTCCAATATAGTGGATTGTAAGGTTTTCTTTGGCTATGGCACATATAAAAAGTTCGTGAAGTATTATTTTTTCCATTTCCTTCATTTGCGAACTATATAAGCTCTTCTTCGTCTCTATCATCAACTACTCTCTTTCTTGCGAGATCTGTTGAGTTGATTTTCATATTTGTTTCAATTGTGGCATTTCATTCAATGGTACATGTGATATGTAGACGATCAACTCTATTTCTTTAAGGTAAGATATGTATTTTTCCTTTTACTTATGTATGTTTTCTTTATTAGGGTTTCTGATATTCAAACTTAGGTCTTGACATGTTTAAACAAATCATTGAATTTTTATCCTTGAGTGTGTATTGTGTTGTTTCTTAATATTTTCCTTTTCTATACTATCGGTGTTCCTTATAATGGACATTCCCCCTACCATAATCCATTAGGAAAAATTGGACAATTTGTTGGTGCGGGTTGATCAAGATACGTTGGATGTCATCTCCACTTTTGTTGGTGTGGGTGTTTGGATCATGCTTTTATCGAGGTAGCACCTTTGTTTGACTATGGAGTGCTAGTTCTTGAACAAGATAAGAGGGTATGTAACAAGTATGACAAGTGTGTCGTTCCTCTTCATGAGTGTTTATTTTCTTTTATATGTCTTTGTCTCCCTTTCAATCATTTAGAGATTGACGTTCTTAATCACTTCTTAATTTCTCCTCTGCAATTACATTCGATGAGTTGGGCTTACGTCAAAGTCTTTTAATACTTGTGTGAAAATAAAAGAGAGTGTCGATCTTGACACTCTTCTTCAATATTTTCAAAGCTCAACATAGCTCAGTTGCTTTAGACTAGGGTCATGGCTTAATATTTATCCAATAGTGCACCAGGATATTCGATGTTTACTAAGGTAATGTAAATAACTTTAAGAATTGGTTCTTACTGGTCCCTCCAAGGAAGAATTCAGGCTAAGATATGTTCCATAGATCTCTAGCCGCCTTACCAATGCTCGAACATATTCTTCGAGTTTTGGCGCCAAAGCATCTTCTTGTTAGGCTTCTAGTCTTATGTTTGCAAGATGGATGATTTGTCTCAATAAGACATTTTTTAAAGATACATCTAGTATCCTTCTTCAAGGATCTAGGTTATGCAAGGATTGATTTTCCTCCTAATATGGTGTCGAAGAAACTGTAAGTCAAGTGACTCCAAACACGAGAGGGGTGATGGTGAACAATGTTGGTTTGAAGAAAAAAATTCAAAACAAAATCTTTTGCAAAATCAGAGTTTAAAAAGGCTTTTGCAAATTAATCAAAGTAAAAGCATCGAAAAAATGAAAAAGGAAATGAAGCAGAAATAAATAATTGAAAAGTAAATAGTTAAGGAAAGAAAGAAAAGCATTAGAAATTTATAGAGGTTTGGTCTAATGAAGTTAGCTACTTTATTACCAAGAATTCCTTCTTAAGAATTTTCAATATGAAGTGAGTTTTTGACAGTATTTTCCCATGAACCTTATTATACGAGGATTTGAGTTTTAAAACGGATAACTTCCTAAACAAACACAAAGTTTAAACTACAGAGACATTGATAATCAAATGCGAGCTTTTACCAGCAGGCTAAGACCTCCCAAATAAGATTTTAAATGTTTAGACCTCCCAAACAAAATAGAGAGTTTATTTGCTTTAACTCAACAACCAAACAAGAGTTTGTAACTTGGTTTAGCTCACAACCAAAACAAAACTTTCTTCCAATGGAAATTTACAAGTATTCCCTTACACCATACCAGAACACTTCACATATACAAAAATTCACTCACAAAGGTACTAAGGCAAAAGTGATGAGAGAGAGAGAGAGAGAGTGTGTGTGTGTGTGTGTGTGTGTGTGTGTGTGCGCGCGCGTATGTGTGTGTGTGTGTGTGTGTATGTGTGTGTGTGTGAGTGGATAGTGAGAGAAAGATATCTCAAATACTTTTTCTGCTGTGTTAGAAATGAGAAAGGATCCTTCTATTTATAGGATAAAATTTGGCTATAAAAGGAAAAGATCCATGGGCAATTTTAATATTGATAATCGATTAGGCCATCCATATAATTGATTATCAAGTACAAAAATAGAAGGTTTTAAACAGAGTTGTTTCAAATAGACTATTAACCCTAATAGTTGATTATAAGGGGTTAAAAAAAGGAATAATGAATTAAGCCTAAGGGTTAATTGATTATGTAGTGTAATCTTCTCCCATAAAATAACTTTTTGAGCTTTTAGCCAATTAGCTAATCATAAAAATATCTTATGGTGATTTTAATGGAAAAGGAAAGGCTTTCCAATAGGTTGAAAGTGCGTGTGTGATTTGCCTTAGTAAAATCGAGAGTTTGTCTTATACCTTTACAAACACTAATCACTCGACATAGACTCGATGAGCTTTGACACTTCTTTTCTTTCACAACTTTGAAGCTTTTGGTTCCTGACCACACTACTTTTGACTTAAGCACTTCACTGGAACATTGAATCTTTTTCTGATGATGTTTGAGATAAATCTTCAAGATATACACCATCATTAGACACATTGTTTGATCATAGATCTTCCCTGACTTTACCGAACACCACTTAACATAAGGTGTTGCCTTCCACAAAAAGGCTTTGATAACTTGATCTTCAAGCATCACAACTTGATCAACACTTGATGACACCAATAGAGCTTTGATATTATGATCACTGCAACTCGATCATATATTCAGATCACCATAAATTGATCATTTTAACAGATGATACTTTAATCTCCGAGCACCATTATATTAGATGATATCACCATCTTAACCAACAAGCCATGAATATCAATTATGGTGAAGACGTCTCTTAAAAGTGTTGACAACATCAAAACCAAACACATTGATGCATGCATCATACCTTTAAGCACATAGATCCACATTACCCCTTCCCCCCTCCATTCTTATGACGACAAAGCATCTCTCAGGGAGGTGGACAAATAAATAAATAAAGGTGATAGATTGGAGTGGCTAAACTCCCTCTGAAAAATATAGAGTATATCATACTCCCCTTTAAAGTATACTTCTCCATCTTTGGCATTGTCAAAAAGGCAAGAAAAAATATAAATAAATATAACATAACATGTATTAAAGAACATAGATCACCAAAGCATGCTCAATCATTTCAAAAAAAAGGTACTTCATTAATTAAAGATAATTGAATTCAATTATAGAAGGGAAACAATTAAAAGATAAAATAACCAAGAGGTAACACAATTAGGCAAAGTTAATTGAAATCATCACCATCATTGATGAACACCCCAGGAACAATGAAAGATTCAAGAGATAATCTCTCAAAATTGATACCCTAATCAATTATTAGGGCAGATAATCGATTAGAGGCAAATAACGCACACAACAACTCTTTTTCTGGGAATGTTGGAATGAAGGGAAAATAATAAATTATTAGGGCAGCTAATAGATTCTCTCTTGATTATAGTGGAAGGTTTTACATAATTCACTAGCCTTTGAATATTGAAGATAATATCAAAAGGTTTTACATGAGAAAAATAATACACAGTACAAGATCAAATATTTCTTCCACTACACTGATTTTGTGGGCTAAGGACTGTACTATTGACCATTTTGTCTCCCATTTTTACAAAATATTATGCAAGGATACATCTGCATTTTGGTACTCTAATTCTACCCTCCAACGGATCTCTTCATTTCCTATATAAAGAAGACTTGGATGAATTCAAAAGCACGAACTCTTATTACACTATTATTGTACGTGAACATTTCTATTTTGTGAATATTTTTTAGAGAAAATAAACACTCACACAAAAACTTTTGTTCATACTATTCATTGTAAATATTTTATGTGACATTTGTATTTCACTTGTGTATTTTGCTTTCTTAGAAGCATTTTGTAAACACACATTATATCAATCAGTTTGATTGTATTTTTGTTCCTTGAGTGACTAGGGTTTAGTCTATATACTCAAGAAGACATTGATTATTGGTTTTTGTGTTGTAATTAAGTTTGATTGTAATGGATTAAGTCTTTGTTGATAAGGCAAAACCACCTTGGCGGGTGGACCGAAGGTAGCTTGTGTTATAGTGAAGCAATATAAAACTAATTGTTCCATTGTTTTTATTCCTTGTTTGCTATTTGGTGTGTTTGGGTTCAAAAAATTTTATTTTTAGAAAGTCAATGTAAACCCCCCTTTTATTGTGTTTCCCTTCACCTTCACGTTCATCAACTGAGTA